TGAGGGCAGCATGACAGGCAGCCAGAGGCAGATAAATATTAATTTTCTAAATTTTTTAGGGGCCCCGTGGGCTGGATATAATGGCCTGGCAGGCCGCATCCGGCCCACGGGCCACAGTTTGCCCACCCCTGCCCTAGCCCAATGGTTAACCTTTTTAGACTTGAGGTACTCCTGTGTTCCTATGAACAACGTAGAAAGACTTTGCATACCCCCTGTTCCTATGAACAATGAGGATGTAACAAAAAATTGACTGTATTCGTATGAAGTAAGCATTGCCCATCCAGCACACTGAACTAGACCTGGTCCTTTGGAAATATAATCGATACAATCATAAAACTAAAGAGTATGCCATATAATGCACATGTACACCCTGAAAGAATTAAAATTGTCCAGACACCTCAATTCTAAAACTATTTTTCAGTGTTTAACATTGCAACCTTAATATTTTTCCAGGATCATTTTTGTACAGAATCTTTACACAAGTTCTACCACATATACAACAGTTCACATTCAAATGCAACCATGTAATCTTATCTATACAAATTCAAATCACTGAAGCAGTTCTCTCTCATATAATATATAAAGCACTACATTTATTCAGTATTTCAATATCCTTTAAATTTTTTTTCTTATGCAAGGAACAACCCTTTGTTTTTCCTTCCTGTTATTGTGTCTTTCTATTTTGCACAAAATATGTTTGCTTTAAATATTTCATTTTAATTGTTTTTCTTAATTTAACTACCTGGCTTTAATTAGGGTGATATTTTGTCTTCTTAGTATTTTTCTTTTGTAATCTATTTACTAATAAAATTAAGATGCACTTGGCTCGTTCTTCATTTTTTTCAACATTTTCTTATTCCTCTCAGTTGCTGCAATTTTAAGTCTCCATATTTTTATTTTCCTTTACTTTCTCTCTTATTATCTATTTGCTGCCTATTCAACTTGAATTTCTTCAGAGACAACAATAGCGAAACTTTAACCAACACTTTGATCAGGTGATGGAAGGTAGATCACAGATATTCTTTCCTTTTTAAGTGCTCAAACATTTACTGATTCTTCTGAGCGAAAGGAACAAACAGTAAAGAAACAAAAGGGGAGGAAATGGTAACAGTCTCTATTACTGAAATGGCTAACTATCAGATGATTAAATTGGTTCAAATATTTCACATATGAGATACTCCACTACACTTTTATCTACCTGATTTGAGAACATGGATCAAGTCCTGATCCCACTGAAGTCAATAATAAAATTTCCCTGGACTTCAATGGAACCAGAACTTCACTCAACTCACAGAATTCAGAGAGCCTATAATAGCTACGTTAGTCATGAACATCTTTCCAGTTGAGTGGATCCTTTCAAATCATAACAGTTGAGTTCTGATAAATCTTAAAGCACATCAAAGTATTTAAGGCTCCTCTGAATAGAACTCAGCTTCTGGCTATTCAATTAGCATGTAGGCAGAGTGGCTCAAATAGCTGGATTAGGATATTTTGCATTTTGAAACAATCCTTTGCATACAAAAACACCCTGATACCACCAGATTTAAGAACATGTAAAAATGAAAAAACATTCAGCCCAGTCTTCTTAAAACCAGAGCACCTAAATCTCATTTGGAGTTGCTTAATGTTTGAAGCACAAAGGGCCAAAATACAGTTCCAGAACTGCCCCATTTAAAAGACATTGCAGCTACATTATTATTATTTCCATCATCATATCCACGCTTAGATGGAGACTGCTATGCTCAGCTACAGAGGTTAGTCAAGGTTTATAAAGCCCTATTCAAAAGCCCAAAACGTCTATGGAAATGACTCCCATGAAGTTGGGAACACAGGATTGGAATGGACAATCCACCTCATTGACTCCAATGCCCTGCTACTGTAGGCAGCAGTATCATGTTAACCCATTCATAACCCTGAAATGCCATCTTAAAAATAGTAAAGCTTTTTGCCCCCTTACTCCTACTGGGAGTAGCTCCAAATCTTCATTTTGTCCCAGCTCAGTTTTCATTTTTCTAGACTAAGCAAGGCATGCTTTCTTACGGCATGTCGGCATGCTAAGCTCAGTGCACTTGGCAGTGGTGGTTTCAGTCACACTGCACTATTGCAAATAAGGGCCATGAGTGGGAACATGCACTTTGTGGTGCCTCAAAGGCTTTTGAGGCACTGCAAAAAGCACACAGTGCATGTGAAAAGGTTTGCTGCACTGCACCAAAAGGTTTGCTGCACTGCACTGCATCTAAAAAAAAAAAAAAAAAAAAGGGAAAAAAAAAGGGACCCCCAAAAAAGGGACAAAAAAAGGACCCCCAAAAAAATGGCCAAAAAAAAAAAAAAAGGGAAAAAAAAAGGGACCCCCAAAAAAGGGACAAAAAAAGGACCCCCAAAAAAATGGCCAAAAAAAAAAAAAAAGGGACAATAAAAGTGACCCCCAAAAAAGTGACCAAAAAAAGAGCAGATGAGTATCTATCAGAGAAGCAAATATAATCTATCAGCTGAATCAACCACTGAAGAACTAATATCCTTGTATACAACAAACTGGCTTTCAGAGCAGGCCAAGAGACACTTGCCAGGCCACGTGTGTAATAGGGCCCCTACACCATTATCGGGGATGAGAGGGAACCAGGGAGTAGCTGACTAGCTCCAGCCTCTGGAGGAACTGGTCGGGGTAGAGGGCCCTTTAATAAAATGACCACCTAGCCCAGATGTAAGCAGCATAGTGCAGCCTGTGACTGACAGGCCTGGGGGAAAAGTAGTGGTTCAGGTGATCCAGGAGGGCATATAAGCCCAAGGCCTGAGGCAAGGCAGTCTGAATGCTGCAGGGAGCAGAGCTTCAGGAAGGAGAGGGGCCTGAGCAGCCAAAAAGGAAGGACTGCAGGCTGTAGGGAAGGTAAGAGGAAGCCCCTGCACCACCGGACAGTGGAACATACACAATTTTGAACCTGTGTTGTAGTGCTGCCATGGTGTAGTTCTGATCCAGGATTGGGGGAGACTTTGTGAAAGCAGAAGCTCATATTTTGCCATTTGTATAAATACCAGAGGACCGGATTATAGCTGTAGGGGCAAAGCAGACCACCAAGAAGAGTGCCAAGAGCACTCCAGGTCCTAGACTCTTTGAAAGAGGGGAGTGCTGCTGTTGGTAGAAGGATTCTGGTGTCAGACAGCAAAGACTGGGGGCACAAGCCCAGAGTCCACAGAGGATGAAACCAGAGGCTGAGAGGGCCTGGTGCCTGCAGTGGGTATGGCTGAAGTTGGGCCTGAGAGCCTAGGGTTCTGGTACAGTAGGCCTCAGGCAGAGGGACCCAGCTAAAGTAAAGTAGGCCAAGGCAATGGGCTTCAGCCCAAACAAGGGCCTAAGACCTGAAGCAACCCCCCCTTGCCCTCTAGGGGCAACCTCCCTGTCCATCCATAACATCAAGGCATGGCAGACAAGACAACAGGGTGGGACACTGAGAGGCCAGAAAGGGTGGGACCCAGGCAGCTACCAGGGGTGACTTAGCCATCCCAGCACTGGACCCACTACAACATGATCAAGGAGTGTGAAATTAGTTTTGAGATCACATCCAAAATGTATTACCTCATAAAGCTGTTCTTTAATGGAAAGGCAAGCTGAATCATATATAAGCTTTAGGGGGAGTTTAAATGATAACTTAAGACAAAACTGGGGAGAGAGCAGTAAGAGTGCTGTTCAAAGGTGTTACCACAAAGGCAAGCAATGCATGCACCCTGTATACAAGTAAGATAGGCATTTATAGATGACAGATGAAATTTTGGCAAGCAGGGAAGCTCATGGTCATCTTATCTGCTTACCACTGTGGGGCTGTCTGCTAATGAAGGCTCTCAGCTCAAGTTTCCCTGGAACAGGCTTGCTGTATGTACTTCCTACACAGCACTTTGTCACTTTGAAAATTAATCTCTGGATGAAAAGCTTTGCCAAGTGCCAAATAAGATGAGTGCCAGCTTCTTTTGTTCAGAGTAATGGTGACATCCAGTGGCCACTAGGCTAATGTTAGCCACAATAACCAGGATAACCTCATACATCAGGGAGGATATTCTCATGTCATCAATTTACAGGATTAAACATGCCTTTTCACTTTGTAGTCTACAGCAAGTGTAGTTATATTACAAGCAACATTAAAATCATCCAGTACAAGGATATCTAGTGTCAACATCACTTACAGGTATCTTACAGTTACAGAACTTACAAGCCTTACATTGTTTTTAGAAATCACATAAAAACTGACAAGACAAAAGCTCTGTGCCAATTTGTTATTTCTTAAGTAGAAGAAGATTACATAAATAATTCAAGGGAAAAGCTCAGCCATTTTTTCCATCAAGGAAAAGGAGGAAGGAAAAATTACCATACATTGGGCAGCTTTATCAGCTAATGTCATAAGACTAGGTAATTCTATTCTTTTATTGCTTCAGTGTCTCCTCTGTTTCCAAAGTGACTACTGCTTCATTCTAATTAATTAGTAACTACTTTAAATTCAGACCTGTCCAAGTCAAGACTGAGATATTTGTGGAATTGTATAGGCATTTCCTGGATGTTCTTTCCTGTGTGTTAACTGTTCAGAGGATATTATTTATTATGTACACTCAGATAATAAAAACATGGTTACACTGAGGTCCGGGTGACCTACAATAACATTGGTAATATAAAATAATCCCCAGACACTGAAATAAATCATTGCAACAGGAACTCTGTTAGCCAGTTACCTACAAAAACCACTTCTGCACCCCTGCATCACTTCAGAATGTGCATGCACAACTCTCTTCAATCGAAAGAAGATTTTTTTTTGCAAACTGACTTTGCTGACCACAAGTGTGACAGTAATAAACAGATCCCACGATAGCCACACATCCTTCTCTCATGTTAATTAAGACTAGACACAACCAAAATGTCTCCAAAGATGTGGAAAACACTGTTTTCCAAACTGGCTTCATACACCCCAGAGTAGCTCTGTTTCCTGTCTTCATAAGGGAAAGAATAAAATAATACTTACTTTTCCAAATATTTCTGGGAGTCCCAAAACCTGACCAGTAAAAACGCCAATACAAATGAAGATTGCTGTGACCTGCCCCAAAGAACCACGTATTTCCTTTGGTGAGATTTCACTCAAATACATGGGAAGAGCACTGAGAGAAACACCTGGGAAGGAGGAAAAAGACAGTAAAATTATAACTGACTTACAATTAAAAAAAAAAATCAATAAGCGAACCAGAATGTATTCAGGGAAAAGAAAAAAACAAAAAACTTGCAAAATGTTCTTGAAACAAAGGTGATAAAAGAGGTATAAGACTCAAAGCCAAAACAGAGGAGAATCCAATCCATGGAGAGGCAGCTTTACTCATTCTGTGGTTATTCATCAGTGTTTTAGTTTGCTACGTAAAAAGTCATTTACATTGAAATACACTGCTAAACATATACACTGTCACGAAATGTAATCATAACATGCCACTGAACGTGTACACTATTATGCAATTAAATAATTAAAAGGGCAATTAAGCCACTAAAAGCGGCAATTTCTTCACATGTATAAGACCTGAAGGACCTGGTAGTTAGGGTCCATCTGACGGGATGCAGAAATGTAAGCACTCCACTGCAGTAGGATGGGGAGGAGTAGCAAGGGCTCCTTAGCCTCTGAAAGCTTAAATCTCTGCCTTTTTCTTTTTTTTTAATGTTTACTATCCCAAAAATACAGGTTGGGGAAACAGCCCACTTGGCTGCCCCTCAGAAGAAATTAATACAAGGAGAAAAAGTCATCCATTGATGGGGCACTTGTATATGCTGAGGACTGAATTAGGAAAAAAAAATCATAGAGCCTTCTTCCAGGAAGGCTACAGGCATAGGAATCCAATGCTGGGATGCCATCTGACCTGAGTTTTTCCCCCGATTACATTCTAGGGGCTCTCACTGATGTGTGGGGGTTTGGGGGGGCTAAAAAACCAAAAAATAGCACTTTACTGGAAGCAGCAACATGTTTTTTCAGCCAGGCTCTGCAGCATCTGTATAGATCAGGTACTTCAGTGGGGCTTTTTGGAGCTTTTATCTCAAGCTGATTCAATCAGCTATTAGATAAAAGTGCCACTAAAGCATCTGATCTATACAGATGTTGGGAAAGCCGGGTGCAGCTGACATGATACCGAGCTCAGCACAGGAGCACGCCAAGTTTAAATTAAAGCAATGTAGGATTTTTCCCCCCATGTCCACAAGCAGCCTACGTATCAGAGAGGTAGTTAGCCATGTTAGTGTACAGTCAGGTAGAAGGCAGGGCAGCATGGTATCTTAGAAAAACTCGTTTGGAGAGGCATAACATTCATTGGTAACAAACTACTTTGTATGAAAGTGTATGCCTCTCTGAACATGTTTGCCTTTAATGTCCGCCCTGCCTTGCCTTCCGGTGTCAGGTAATCTTCTGCTCCTTACCAAAGGACAGTAAGGAAGAGGATGCTGTTACAGCACTGATTTTACACTCCTTCACACACTTGCTTTTGCAATAAATACAATCTGAGAGGAGTCATGCAAGCAGTTTAGAAACAATGAAAGCAAACCTTAAGTCCTAGATTTCCTTGTGGAACTGCCCAGAACCCTTTGTTATAACCATTCTTGCTTTTTTATTGCTATTCTGCTGCTAATGATATTGCTGCAGTGAAAATTATTAGAGCTTCTGGTACTGAAATCCAGCCATTAGAATCTGTACTGTTTACCACCAGAAAATACCCACCACCAACATCGCAAGAGAGGGAAGGAGGAAAATATAACAGACACTATTTCACAACAACATGGACCCAGATAAAAAATAAATGCACTGCCAACTTGATCAGCAAAACAGCATTAATATGGCAGTTAGATGCCATTAAATGTACCATTTGTACACTATAGAATATCGCTGTTGTATCAGCTCACAGATGTATGTTCTTATCGATACCTGCTTACAATTCTGGAAAATTTTTAACAGTATGCTTGAATTCAAGAGGAAGATGTATTACCAAGAGGGAGGAGGGCTAGCAGGGGGAAGAACTGTATTTAAAAAAAAAAAAAAGGAAATAAAAATTTCTAACTGAAATTAGTGTACTGAGCTTGGCAAGTTAGTGTTAAATCACCAGCCAGCACGCTCAGAAATTTGCAGTCTGTAAATAATTCTATGTGAATGACACACAGGTCTTCAAACTATTCTAATTAGCTCTTAAATGTAAGACAGTCAATGCTTTGAAAAAGATGGGTTTAGTTATTTAAAAGTCAAAGCACATATCATATTGTAAAATATTCCACAATCAGAAATCCACTGAGAGGGTAAAAATATTTTTCATTGCATAAAAGGGTCTTGCGTCACCTTCTGTTAGGTATTTCTAGATGTGCAAAAGGACTGTGAGAATCTACTGGGCATTTTAAATTATTCTGATGGAAGACACGGTTCCGTAAGGCATTTTACAGCTTGGAAATCATTTGTTACAAATGAATAGCAATTTACTAAGCCTGCAGTATAATCCCATTGGTATCAATATAGTATTCAACAGCTCCTGATGGCAAAATAGTAAGCAGGTGTAACAGACCACATACTCCTAGAAAAGTATTTTGTGAACACAGACAACCTGTATAAAAGGGTAAAAAAGAGGTGCTCTCATAATTAATTTCCATTTAGTTTTCTTCAATAATTATCAGATTTTGCCATCCTAATTCATGCTGATTGGTCCCACTGAAATCAGGGTGACCATTCATGCAAATTACTCCTTAATACATAAAACAGCAGATTATTCACAGCATGAACTATACATGTATGAACTGTAAAGTATAAAGCTTACCTGCATCAATTCCCATTATAATACGGCCCAATATAAGCATTTCAAATGATCCCGCTAGGGAAGAGAATCCCATCAACAGTGCAGCTATGACTGCAAATATATTATTAAGCATCAAAGTATATTTTCTGAAAGGAAAAAAAAATATTATGGAATAAGATTTTTTAACCAGTCACATAATGATTAGGCTAATTACATTGCGTATAAAACCAGAAATGGTTTAAAGTGTCTATTATATACAGCGTCATACATATACTGGGTTGTTTTCAGAAAGCAATTCAAAATAATGCAGCCAAATAGATATTACCTGGGGAGCAAATACAACCATAGCCATAAATAAAGGTCCAAATCTCAAATTTACTTACAGTATCCAACAGCAAGACACCTGAGACTAGCATCTTTTGTATAACTGGACGTATCTAATTCATAATTTTTTTGAATTATGGAAGTATCAAGTTATAATTCAACTATTAAAAAGTTGAAGCAATTCGTACAGGCTTGAATGCAATGTGCAGTTTCAAATAGATTACTGTTTGAAAAACTTCAGTAGGCTTCCAGATACACAATCAAGCAAACAAAATTCCAGTGAAGTTACCAGATTTACCCTTGTAACTGAGTTGGACCTGGCTCCGGAGCAGTTGAGCCCAGCTCCAGAGTGAGATGCATGGGTGGAAGCCTGTTGTGCCCTCGTGAGCCAAGGACCCCGGCAGACCCTCCAGTGGACCCCAATCCTGACCCCCAGCATGAAGCCGGGAGATACAGTGGGGCCCGTGCTGGGTGGTCACTAGATAGGGTGAGAGCAGCTGAGCGGAGCCACAGCAGGGACCAGACTTGATGATCTTACAGGTCCCTTTCGGTTCTATGATTCTGTGATTTACACTAATGGTTTTCAGCCTTTTTAGTCTCAGGGCACACATCATAAAACTCAAAGTCTTCCTCAGAAAATGCCAACTCTTAGTTTTCACCTGCTTTTTGAGTACAGAAAAATAACAGAACATTTTTTTTCTGTTGCAAAGAACTTGGAAAGACCATAGCAGGTCAGAATGTTTTTTCTCACACTATGAATTTCTACTTGACACCTCTGGGTTTACCTTGTGAATCATTCTGTACTCAAAGCACTGCAAGAGCTGTGACACCCTACATGGGAATCAGTGTTTTAGGCAGATGTTACATTTGTCCCACCAAATCAACTGTTTTAGAGCAACAAAAAGAAATGGGCCACAAGGTGTTTGTTGTGCTGAAAGAAAAAAATGGGCCAATCTGCCATAAAAATGGTAGATCCATGACAAAGCAGTTGCTGTTTCAAGCAGAAACTTCTTTGTCTTTCCAGGCCAAATTAAGTGTGCAGTCACATCTGAGAGACCTCCACTATCCCACCATATTTGGCTCTCTCTCCCCCCTGCAAGGCGGGGAAGGGAGAGCAGCTGGCTCCATGACAGCCCATCCAGCTGCAGGGACCAGCTTCCAGGCTTCCCTGTCTTGGTGTTGTGCTCCAGCCAGGGGGCTATGTATATGTGCCCACCCATAGCACTAGTTTTTCTGGTACAACCAACTTTCTAGAAATATTAAAATAACATGCATCAAAGGCCTGACAACTACACTCATTCCTAAACCATAGTAATCCACAGACATGTAAAGATCAAAGTAACCTGTACCACTGGAGAAAACAGCTGATCTTTGTTTCAATGATGAAACAAACCTCTTTAAAATAACAGATATTTTCTGTATTCTTTACAAATGTTTCCTAATTTCATCTACTTTTCTAAATTCACCACTATTGAATGAAATACAAAAGTAGCAGCAGTAAAAAAACCTTTATTTTGATTAAATTTCTTTAAAAAACCCCCCCAAAACTGAAGCATTTTATGAGGGTATCGGCTGTAGCCATGTTGGTCTAAAGACATAGGCAAACAAGGTTCTTTGGCTAAATCTGATTTCTTTTATTAGACCAACCCAAATAGTTAGAAAAATTCTTCTTTGCAAGCTTTTGGGTATAAGAACCCTTCATCAGGCTGAGGAAGCACCTGCAGTTGGTTTGTGCTCTGCAGATGCTTTTCATTTGTTCATTTAAATTTCTTATCCTTTTTCAGGGTTTGTTGTTGGTTTTTGTTTACCTAAAATAATCTAGTAAGTTTTAAAGGCCAAACTCGGAAAAAAATGTTTTGTTAATGAAATTTCTTATTTGACCTTATTTTTTTCAGAATTCACTTAGCTGAGAGGGTGAAATCTTTTTCAATTTAGAACAAAAGCAAAATTCCAAACAGTGGAATTTTCAGCAAAATGGAAAATTTAGCTCTTTTCCTGCTCTATGAAGACACAATATAGTTTCATAGTTTCTAGGGTCGGAAGGGACCTGAGAAGATCATCTAGTCCGACCCCCTGCCATGGCAGGAAAGAGTACTGGGGTCAAACGACCCCAGCAAGGTGTTCATCTAACCTCTTCTTAAAAACCCCCAGGGTAAGAGCCTGCACCACCTCCCTTGGAAGTTGGTTCCAGACCCTAGCCGCCCTGACC